GTCTGGGACATGGGAGTCCCATGTTCCAGAAACCTAAGTTTTGTTTTCCAATTGAAAGAACTTGGCTTCGTGGTAGTGAATATATGGTAGCCAAAATAAATAGAAGGTCATAGCATGGGCTATTTTAAGTTTTAAGTAGGATACCAGGATTCTTAAATCATATAGAATTTGCCACCATGGATTACATCACAACTCTAAAGGCATAGAATTTGCCACATCAGAAAGTCAGTTATGCACGAATCTGTTCTGTTACCCATTCCTGAGATGGGCAGATTTTGACTGTCAGCAAAACTCCAAAGGACTGATTGCAGTACCGTTTCAGCCTCCTTTACCTATCTGCTGGAAGGAATGAAATGATGATAGAACAATTTTTATTTTGCTCAGTAGCAATTTTTCTACGTGGTAAGTTGGTCTCTGTGTTAGTCTGCCTGCTGTCTTCAGTGCCTTCCATTTTGATTTAAAAAATTGTGTAGAGAAGATAAAACAGCTTTGCTGTAGTGACTTCTGTATCCCAAGTTACTTAGAAATTGTCTGTGTAACCAGAAAAGCTCAAATTTTTACTTTCAGTTTGTACTTAATCTCTGGGATTACAGTATCCTTGTGGAGTTCGTCCATGCTCTGCAAGAGCTTCATCGTTAACTCTGAGCTTGGGAAAAATTGCTTCTCCTGTTGTGTCCCTAGGGATTTGTCTGTGTTTTCTTCAGATATTTCCAGTTGTGAGAGTTGCAGGGAAAGATGTACTGGAATGAGCTTCTGAGAGGGATAGGTTGTGTGCTATATTGCTCATCCTTGGGCAAGGAGAAAAACAAAGCATGAGTTCAGTGATGTCGGTAGCTTTCAAAGGAACAGAGTTTGTAAACTTTAGGTTCTGTCAGAAGAGATTTGGGCAAATGAAGTTAGTGCAGCTGTTGCCACTGTTTGGGATGAACGTTTTAAATTGGATTTTAAGTCGCAGTGGTCTCTTAAACCGTGTTTTCCTTCTTTGATGTAATTCAATCCTTGGTATTTTTTTATGAGGGGACCTATAGAGATAGCCTGCTTCGAGTTGCATTCCCTCGCTGCTTGTAGGCCCTGCAAAAATTCACTGTTCACAGATTAAATTTGCAGAATTAAGTTTAAATCTGTAAGAAAATTTTAAAAGGAGAATTAGGGCCTTAAAAGGAAAAATGAGGAAAAGGGAGACACACAAAGTTTTTGAACTTTCTGAATTGCCCAGTGGTGTCTCAGATTCCATCAGAAGAGGAGAGGCCAGCAGGGTGAGGGAGGCGATTGTACCCCTCTGCTCTGCCCTCGAGAGGCTCCAGCTGGAGCACTGCATCCAGGTCTGGGGCCTTCAGCACAGGAAGGATGTGGAGTTTTTAGGGGGGGTATAGAGAAGGCCACGAGGATGATCCAAGGGCTGGATCACCTCTCTTATGAAGACTGGTTGAAGGAACTGGGCTTGTTCAACCTGGAAAAGAGAAGGCTGTGGGGAGACTTACTTCATTGTGGCCTTCCAGGATTTAAAGGCAGCTTATAAACATGAAGGCAATCAACTTTTTACATAGGTAGATAATGATAGGACAGTGGAATGGCTTTAAACTAAAGGAAGGGAGGTTTAGATTAGATGTCGGGGGAAGTTGTTTACTGAGAAGAGTGGTGAGGTGCTCAGCTGGGCACAGGCTGCCCAGAGAGCTTGTGGATGCCCGGTCCCTGGAGATGCTCAAAGCCAGGCTGGATGGGGCCCTGGGCAATCCTATCTGGTACTTGATCCGACAGCTGGCAACCCTGCCTGTGGCACAGGGATTGGAACTTGGTGATCCTTTAGGTCCCTTCCAATCCAAGCCATTCTATGATTCTTTGATAAAGCTCTCCTGGCCAACTTGTTTCAGGTTCAGGTAAATCGTGGCTAATGCTTTAGGATGGTTACAGAACACCTTTTGAGAAATGCTTTAAAAATCAGCAGGATTTGAGCTGAGAGTTTCATCTGTGCATTATAATTGAAGACAAGACAAATATGAAATGGCAGATGTGCCAGCATCAATTTGTAAGATATTGCATGTTTTAAAAATAATTAATGGTTTGAAAAATACTATTCTACGTAGTATGCTAAATGGAATTCCTTAAATGAATGAAAAAAGGTGAAATGCTGATGGCATTGATCTACCCATCTCTGAATGAGTTTATGATTTTAATATCCCTCAAACTTGCAGTTGTTTCAAACTGATGTTTGATGTTGAGAGTTGATAATACTTTTATTTTTTTAATTCCATTTTTAAAGCAAGTATTTTGAATAAGAGTCGGAAATAAAAGCACAGGGGTGTTGTGTGTTCTACTTGTTGGGACTGTTCTTTCAATCTATTTTTAATAAACAAGGTCCTTGCAAACAATGAGTGCTGATGCCTTGGGATTTAAAAAATAGGCATTGTCTTCCAGATTATGCAATTTAGAATGTTACAGGGAAAAAAATGATACTATAAGAGAGTTATATATAGCTCAGCTCTAATCAAAACATTACCAAATACTTCTGGAGAAGAAGGAAAAACCCTGATTGTAGTCTTTTTTTTTTAAACTCTTTTTTTAACTAAAATTTTGTGGCATGAAAAAAAAACCAAAATCATGTTCATATGCTTTAGTTATGTTCTCTACTCCCTGCTTGCGGGTCTGACTGAGGGCAATATGCAGAGGATTTGGCAGTTGCGCGGGGGAGGCATGGGGTGTTCATGCAGGTGAGTTTCCAGCCAGGATACCTCTGTTTCTTCCTGCCTCTTCTGAAAGACACTGTGACTGGGAGGGCTCTTCATTCCCTGACTTTTGTAAGATGTGTGCTAGGAATCACTGCGAACAGAAAACATCCCCCAGAAGTTAATGTTTGATTCTGCCGTCGTGCTGGTAGTGCTGGCTGAGAGGCTCCCACAGAAAGCCTTAAGGTGTTTTGTGTCTAAGGATCTGCTTAGTCTATGAGGGAAAATAGACGTGTTTTAGGTTAGTAATCCAACTAATAAATCTTACTGGAGATGTAACAGTTCCTAATTTTCACTCCTTTTAACAAGATAGTTAAGTAGATAAGTGCAGTCTTCCTTTGTCTTTCCTGGCATTTCTTCCTTGCAATGCACTAATAAATGTGCTGAGAAGAAGTGAAAAATACTCTTCTGCTCCTTGCACCACTTGCACCACTGATGTTTCATGAAACTGCAGCTCCTAAGTCTGACATTGCAAGCATTAACTTCAGGGTTGCGGCTATGAAAATGTCTGCTTCTCCTTGTATGTGTGAATTACTGTAAATACTTTGCTATCAGGGAAAATTTAAGAAAATTCAAAATGGAATGAACAACCTTTAAATAAAATCCAGCTTGTGATTGGGAGCAACTTGTTGGAGAATTGTGTTATTGCTTTGTGTGCTTTTGTTTATCTGTTAAAACTGACCTTTAGACCATTTAAGAATTCTTATATAATTAAAGCAGGCTAGTCTATCTTACATAGTGTAACCATGTGAAGAATTAAAAACTGCCAGAAAAATATTGGGGTGAATATTGCAAACACATGCATTGGTGTAGTTTGCACGTGCTTGTGATTATGTATGATTTTTGTTCTATCTGTGAGATGCAAGAGTCCATCAGAGAGGATGAGTCATATTTTTCTCTTGTGTTTTCTCTCTCTTTCTGCAAGTTTTAGCAAGGAATTTGCTAAACGAAAGCCTGGTAATTAGTGAAAGAGCTGAGTTTTCTGAAAATTGGGCAGAGGTGAGTGAGGTGGTCATTGTGACCCCAGCTGGCTTGGAGTTGTGCTGAACCTCTGCTAAGATGGTTTGTGTGCCAAGCCAAGAAAAATCAAACCTGGCCAGAAAATCTATGTATAACAGATTGGGTAGGGCCATAATTGAAATAGTGCCTATGTGTGTTGCAGAGGGTTTGGTTTTGAATTGTTGAGCATCAAGAAGGCATATGGCTAAAGGGCAAATAAATTATATTGCTGCAAGTTACTGAAACTGGATACTTCTTGGGCACAGGAGAGAACCTATATGTTACATACACAAGTAGACATATCCATCAAATGGTTCAATGAGGTTGTCCCTCTGAGCCTTTGTGACATCTTGGTCTTAATTTCAATTTAAATGCAAATTGCTAATTATTCCTTTTTATTATTATTATTTAATGTGACTGCATTAAAATGTACGCGTAATCCTGTCATCTTTTTTTATACTAAAAATATATATTCAAAAACTATACTAGGAATGTATTTTAAGGGGTTAGACTGAAGTAATCTGTTAGTCTAGTACTTTGCTTCTTAGAGTAGTCAATAGTATATAAATAAGTTGCTCTGAAAGTAATGCCTCCTATTTATTCCAGTGGAATCTGCAACGAAGAGCACAGTAGCACTTTTAGTTAGAGCAAATTCTCAGCTACAAATCATTGTTTTTTGGGAGGCATTACTTTTCCCTCATATGTAGGGAAGGGAATAATAAGAAGGAATGTTCAGTGATCATTCCTGATGTCTTTCCAAAATCTGTAGCAACAACCAGTGAATGGAGGCAATTTATGATTAATATCATGGAGCAAGAATCATGAGGGGTGCAGATGAAAGGGTGTTGTGTTAGCCATACATGTTGGAATTTGTATGTGTTCAGGAGGTAAGCAGGAGACTTAAGCAAAGTGATCTGTGTGTGCTTCTCTGTTTGTCTGCTGTGGTTTGGTTCTGTAAGCAAGAAGCATAAGAGGTGTTTTGCTTTGTTTCTGTGCAGTAAATTGGGCAAAGGGTAGTTGGGGTCCCCAGTGTGACAGGCTGCCCTACAGACAGCGATACTGCATTACTTTCTTCCAAGACCAGATGGTACTAAAATGCTTAGGAAGTTCATAAGACATGAGAATATGTCTAAGGCTCCACTTTAGAATCAGCCTAGCCATGAAGACCTCACTTGATGTAATGTTGCCAAAATAAAATGTCTGTATGTATTTTGTTAGTTTATTTAGCAGCTTATCTTAAAGATGAGAAAAAATTACATTTTTTATTTGCTTTTCTAGTTCTAGGTCAAATGATTAGTTCTGTGACAAGACAGCATGACACTTTGAAGTATGACAGAAGCCCCGATGCCGCAACAGAAGCTGGGAATATTAATGGCCAAATCTAGGTGAGTAATTTTAACCCTGATGGTTCCATGGCTGTTTCATTTCTTCCTCACTGCTGTAGTTGCCATTTCTGCTTTGAAGCAGCATTATGGTTCTTGGTATTCTGAAGTTTTAATATTAGAATATATTGGAGAAAAAATAACAAGCTTGTGTGATTATTGATTGATTTCATCTCCTTTCTTTGACCTTCTTGAGATACGGTCGGTGTACTTCACATATGTTTTTATACTGTGTCTTTCTTTGCAACTCTATAGATTTTTCACCGATTACATTTACTTCAGTTTCCTGTATTATTTACTATGTTTATTAATTGGACTGTTTAAGTTTACTATTCAGTTACCTTTATGGTGATTGCAAAGAATGTCACATGATTACAACAGAAGATTAAGACTGATCTATAGTGGGGTGATAGAAGAAGAAAGTTGTGAGACTTCATTCTGTGGCAGTTTTAGCATACTATTCTATGAATGTCTACTATTTGTACAAAAATTTTTTAATTTAACATCCCAAGAATATAAAATATTTATTTTTTCTTGGTTTATGCATGGTATTAGTTGAATATTTTATTGTTGTGTAGTAAACAGAGTAGACTGTATAACACAATTTAATCTAAAGAAAACTTATTAGCAACTAAAAAACAAACAAACAACAAAAACAAGTTGTAAAATGTGTAGGGCTCTTTTTTCCTTTACTTTGGGTACTAGTTGTATCTACGTTGCTATGTGGGAAGTGTTTTAAAGTAGAAGTGCAGAATCTGAGTACAGGGCTACCACAAGGCCTGGTGTGGCTCCACCTTCCATTGAATGGCAGCCCCCAAGGCAGGGCTGCCTGCGTGTTTGCTGCCTGTGCTTGGCAACCTGAAACACAGAACTGGTGTGGGAGCCACTCAGCGTTGTGTTCAGCAGGCTGAGCTGGGGAGTCTCAGTTAAGGGAAATTGGAAGCCAGGTGGAGAGATCTTGGTTTAGGAGATGAGAATTGCAGCCATTATGTAATTGTTTGGTTTTCTTTTTCCCACCTGCTTGAAGTGCTACAATAGGAATTAAGGTGACACTCCATTGGGTCTGCTTGGTAGTAGCCTCAGCTTCAATTACTGGTAGGGCTTCCATGGCGTACTGTAGTCACTCCATGAGGCCAAATCTAATTTAATTCCTATAAAAAAGTTCTAATCTTTTATTAATTATGTCTGCAAAATTCATCGTGAAAAATTGTAATTAAAGGAGCAAGTTATACTGGGTTGTTCTGTTGATGATGCTCACATAAATAATCCCATTGGCTTTGGTTGTGATTTGTTGATTTTTACTTTAGAGATCACATGGTCTTCTAAAGAAGTCATGGGTAGCTGTTGTAGCTGTCCAGATAAAGAAACTGTCCCAGATAACCATCGAAACAAGTTTAAGGTAAGCACCTGATGTGGTATGCTGTGAATTATTTTGTTGCTTTCTTGAATAGGTATGTGATGGAAAACACCTAAATGAAAATAGGCGAAGAATTAGCTGATGGGTTAAAGCACTGCAGACCTGCAGGTGTCTGTGGCTATGGGTTTATCTTGCCCCTTTGAAAATCTTTTCTTAGCAGCAGTGACAGGAATTCTGTAGACAGGCTGAGTTTCAATCTTCAGGATGGAGAAGCAGCCTCATGTTTTTGGTACAGCTCCATGCAGTTGGTAAAGCCCAGTTAAACGCTACTTCTGGGAGGTTATGGACCATGTGTATAGAGTAAGAGGCGTAACTGGGTAAGTGTATATTATAAACCTGGAAGTGGAGTCAGCAATGAAATATTATAGCACTGCAGATTTTACTTGAAGATCACTGTGAATTATATCATTTGGAGAACTTTTGTGTTTCTTAACTGAAGTAAACATCACGTGTGTGTGCTTCTATCCCTTTTACTGCTGGAATTTACAAGCTTGTGAACGCTTGTTCATGTCTTAACAACAAGAAGCTACTGAAGTCAGTGCCTTTAAGTAAACACAGCTTTGCATAGTCACAACTCAAATTTGCTTCTGTGCTCCAAACTTTCTCTCCAAGTTGGCAAAGGATTGTGATGCTTCCACAGTGAAAAATGATTCATTCGTTGCCTTAGGGCAACGCTGAAATGAGCTTTAAAACAATGGGAATTTCTGGAAATGTTCAATATTATCAGTACAAAAAGCTGAAGGATAAAATTTTTTTCTGTTGTCTTGGGTTTTTAAAATATATTTGACATCACTTTGTGCAACAAGTTCCTCTTTTTCTCCTTGCAGATTTTCTCAATTGTTTGTGTGGTTTTTGTTTTTGTGATTTAGCAGCGGGGGGGGAGAAGATGAAAGAATGTAATTTGCAAAATGAAGAAATTTGACATGAGCCTCAGTGACAGATGAAACTATTTCTGATTCTTTTTAACTGACTAGATTTCGAGTTGAAAATGCTTCTTTAAGGAGTAAAATTAATTGATACAGTAGGGATCTGTATGTAGCCTTTTTACTGGGCAAGAAAGAATTTCACTAAAAGCAGCATTGCAAGATAAAATACATCTGGGGGAAAATACACAGAGTCAGATTTCCATAAAGGAAGCAGAAGACCTCCAACTGGTGTAAGAGCAGAAGGAGTAAGCATGTTAGCTCTAAACATATCGTGTTTTCACGTAAGATAACCATAGAGTATGTGAATTATTTGTTGACATTAAAATGAGACACAAAACAAACTAAGGCAGTCTGAGCACAGTGCAAGGCTCTACAGGTACGTGAAGGAAGCTTCATCTTATAGCCTTTTCTCAGTCCTTTTCTCAGCTGTAAGTGGGGTTACATGACAAAGTAAATATATATATATATTTTTAGAGAAGAGACTTTGAAAGATTTCATTATCTGAGGTATCCCTGTGTAAATACTAGAATGTGTACGTAGCGTCAGCTTAAAACTTCATTAACCTTAATTTTCCTATTTTAAATATCACCACAGATTTTGCAATAATGTTATATGTTCTCACTCATGTTGCTTTTAAATATGTGTTATTTTAATTCTGGGTTGGAAAATTAAAGGAACTGGTTTGATGAGTTTTTTTTCTTAACTTTACCTCAAGGATCGCAAGTCGTACGATGGAACAAATAGAGTGCATTAGTGAAACATTAAGATGATAGTAGTACTGATGCTCAGATACTTACCTAATGCTACTTAAATTCCTTTCTGTAGGTTATTAATGTGGATGATGATGGTAACGAGTTGGGTTCTGGCATAATGGAACTCACAGATACAGAACTAATTTTGTACACCCGTAAAAGGGACTCTGTAAAATGGCACTACCTCTGTCTCCGTCGCTATGGCTACGACTCAAATCTTTTCTCTTTTGAAAGTGGTAGAAGGTGTCAAACTGGACAAGGTATGTAGAATTTTTGTATAAAGAGATTTTCAGAAATGTGTTTGATATCTGAGGACTTGTTTAATCGTTGTGTACTTGCCTGCCCTTGGACAAGGGTTATAATGGGTGTAGTTTTATATGTGGATGCAATTCCTGGAAAAAAGTGGAATGGTCATATGGTAAAATGAGGATTTGAACTGTTTGCAGTTTTTGGGCTGGAGCGCTTGGTGTTTTTGGGTTGATGGCTCTGGTCAGCTTAGAAAGTTTTCACAGGGAAATTTTCCTGCCTTTGGAGTTTGAGTTGGCTTTCAAGGAAGGACAAGGAAAGTTGGGGCTGTGGAGGAATCTTTTAAGAACACAAAGTTTGCTGTTTTTATATTTTTAAGAGACTGAAATGCTGAAATGAACTGGATGTGCCTACTTTTTTTTATTGCCTTCAGCATCACACTTTTGTCTCATCCTCTTCTTGAAACTCATATCGCTTTCATTTGTATCAATGACATAAATCTCAATTTTTTTTTCAAATTTTATATGAAGACTATTAACTCCAGCTATGCTTAGTTATTTTCTGTGTGGCTTTAATCAGAAAAAAGTCAGTTTCCTTTCCGCTCTGAGATCACCCCCATCTTGGCCAAGGTAGGTTTTTCTGTTGCTGTTTGTGACAGCAGTCCCTGATGGAGGAATAGCTGTATTGGCTGAAGGCTGAGCCTCACTTTGCATCTTTATATTGCGATGCAGCTCTGCGTACTTGGAATTCTCGTGTATTGATCTGTTGTGAAATTTGAGTTCTTATTTTCTTAGAGATTTTCAGCATTTAGTAGTGTCTCTGTAAATCGTGTTATTTAGCAGTGGCAGAATATTTTTTAAATTCACTGTTAAGTTAGGAACAATAATGAACTTGATCCTAACCAAACTTGGTCAAACTACATTGTCAAACTACAAAGCAGAGGTAAGGGCAGACAATCATTTTACTGTATGAGTTCAGAATGCATTCTTGATTCGGCTCCTAGTGAGAAACGTTTTCAAATGTTACAAAACACTGTGCATTAAACTAAACTTTCAGACTTCTAAGGAGAAAATTGTGAACTCTGGTATGAAAAAATGCACTTAAATGGATTTTTGCATGTTTAATTCACTACTTCTTTTAAATGTATAAAATAGATACTAATGAAATTCAATTGAAATTAGTATTTTGAAAGTTCTTTTCCACAGCCTTTTACCAAGTCTGCAAGCTTTTTCGCTGACTCTACAACTCTCTTTTATGCTTCTAATTTCCTTTTCTTTTCAAGAGAAGAGTAAGCAGACTTTATGAGCAGCAACCCTTTCCTCCCTCTTTTGTTTCTCGCCTTCCTTACATAATATTAAGTACTGTGAATATTAAGAAAAAAGAAATCAGCCAGAAAATGTTCTCCCTGCTGCCATTCTGCAGTGGTGCATTGTTCCTGAGGCCTATAGTAGCATTTGTGGGTACGGTTGCAGAACTTTGTCATCAGTTGATGAGATGACCAAAAAATGCTTCCTTTGAGAATACACAAGAATTTTGCCCTGCCACTTTTACCAATTGTCCTAGTCAGTGTTCTTGTTGTTTGTTTCTTAGATTTTTCTTTTTTGACCTGTTAAGGTTTAAGTATCCAGTGCAAATTTTTGGAAATACAGCAAAAATGAAATATAGGCTTTAGAAGCACATAAAAGGTAGAAGCAGCTCTACAGCTGTTGTGTTGCAAGCATGGAACTTATTCATTACACTACCTGAATACTGGTTGTTGACAGACATTCCTCTCAGCCCATGTGGTGTGTTCCCATTGAGGTTTGTGAGCTTCTGCCATATGGAGCATTTCTGGTACTTCTTTTGCAGTCCCGTGTCCATAAATAAATATATGGTGATAGTAGTTGCCAGCATGTTGCATTTTTGCGCTAGCAGAAATTGCGGTAGAGGTGGTTTTTAGTGAAGAGTGTTTTAAGATTGTGATACTCATTAAAAAAAAAAAAAAAAGAGCACCTGCAGCCACGTGTAACAAGCATGTCAACTTTAACTTCATGCTTTCAATGGAAGAATAACCCAAAGCTGCGACTTTGCTGGTGAGGGTAAGTTGGGGCGCTCCCTGCTGTTCAAAGGCAAAGTGGCACAATACACACATCAAACACACGGTATTGCTGCTGACTTTGTGTTCTGTGTCTATCCCTTTAGCCAAAACCAACTGGTTTGTTGCTGTCTGTTTCATGCAGTTTGTCCTACTAGCTTTACATTTTAATCTTCTTAAGAAACTTAACTTTTTTGCAGTGTTTAAATTCTTCTTTCCCCTCATGCAGGCATCATACAGCAATTTAATAGAAATCTGGTTTAACAAATGTGATCTTCTAGCATCACAATAGTTTCATTTAGGTTTTTTTGTAGGCATCCTTGTTATCAACTTAAAAGAAATCTTTCTGTTTGTGTTCCTTTTTTTTTTTTTCTTTTTTACCCCTCGTTTAGCCCTCAAAACTTAGTTTTGCTTTTAACGGAATCGATTTCTGTTCCATGTTAACTTTGGGTGCATGGGAAATGTGTTCTCCTATCAGATAAACACTTGAAAGGATCTCACTGTATTTGTGTGTGTTTTGCTGCAATAAAAATGTCTAAACTTTTTTTCTTCCTTAGCAGGTATTCATGATGTGGATTCCAGTTATTTTGCTTGAAAGTTATATACATATATATAGTAAGTTATGCTTCTTTTAAAGGATTTTGATTTTTTTTTTTCTTGTGTATTTATAGGAATCTTTGCCTTTAAATGTGCCCGTGCAGAAGAGCTATTTAATATGTTGCAAGAGATAATGCAGAATAATAGTATAAATGTGGTAGAAGAACCAGTAGTAGAAAGGAATAACCATCAAACTGAGTTGGAAGCTCCAAGAACCCCTCGAACACCTACCAGTAAGTATGGTTATACTAGGAAATGACATACCTGAATATAATGTGGTATTTAGTTTTAAATTAGTGGGTTTTTCCCCTTAATTTGCATGAAATTTTAAGTAACTAAATGCTATTTTCAGCTGAGAGGTTAATTACTAGCAACACATTCTCTTGAGGCACTTGCTGAAGATTCTGTTTACAGAATTTACAGAAGTCCTGGGAGCAAAATTTCTGTAGTCAAGTTTTTTAGCTTTAAGAAATAAGCTTTGGGAATTTGATTTTTGCACTGCTTAAACATATACCTGTGCAGTTGCTCTGCTATATGTCACCATGTTTTTCTTGCAGTGTTTCAGAGAGATGTTAACGTTAGTCAGTGCTTCAGCCTTTTGGTTAGGGAGAAGTTAATAACATTATCACATCTACAGTGGATTTGGCAACTTGCTGTGGGTAGGTGGATGGGTAGAATGAAGTCTTATCAAAACTGCTGGAGGATTTGAGCTAATCCCAGGCAGATACCAAGATGCCTGAATGTGGAATTCAGAGAAATAGAAAGTTAAGTTTAAAAAAAAAAAAAAATCCTGTATTTATTTATTTTTAAAGTAGGCATGATTTCAATGGTAGAAAAAAAAGTTGGGTAGGGAGCTTATTGGGAAAACTGTGGTGTGTTGTACACCTTGATTTTGGTGGTTGCTTCAGATGTCTTTCCCAGTAAGTACTGGGATGTTCTACTCCTGCAGCTCCTCAGCAAATCTGCCTTGTGAATATTTAATAGTTTCATATTTTTTATTTCTTTTGAAAGTTGAGGATTAATATATAAAATGTATTTTACTTGGATACAGTAAAATGTTCTGCTCTAATATGGTTTTGCTTATTTTCTGATTGAATCAGCTCCTGGGTTCAATGCACAGAGTTTACCTAATGGCTATCCCAGATATCCGTCTTTTGGAGATGCTTCATCACATCCTTCCAGCAGGCACCCTTCTGTTGGAAGTGCACGCCTCCCCTCTGTTGGTGAAGAATCAACGCATCCTCTACTTGTAGCAGAGGAGCAAGTGGGTATTTTTTTTCCTTGTGTAGTTCATGTCCAACATTTGTTCAGATTTTTCTCCTGTTTATTCTGTAGGCTTATGTTTTCATTTTTTGTGCTTTTCAGTCAGGTGTAATGTATTTCTACTGTATGTTAGTAGTCAGAAAAGTACTTGTTTTGTCTCTTTAAAATGATACTTTCTAGGATAGTTTGCTGAGGATTTGAAGTTTTTATATAAGAGTTGAGGTATAGAAAGGATGTATTTGCATATGCTCTTTTCAAAAATTTCATAAACTATTTCTAAACACTTAAGTTGGACTTCACAGAGAGAGATCTTGGTCAAAATTATTCACACCTAAATCTTCTATTTGTTAAATAATGGAATAATTTAAGTTAAAAGCGATCTTTACAGTCCTTTAGGTCTTACTGTGGAGTTAAGAGGAGAGACCTGCACAAAGCCCTGTCCTGTCATGTTTCGAACACTGAGTGGTGATCCCACAATGTCTCTGAGCTTGACCACCTTACTGTCAAAGCATTTTTCCCTTACTCAAATTTCTCCTGTTACAGCTGGTGTTGATTGCCCTTTACGCTTTTGTTGAACATCTCCCAAAAGTTTCTGACTCTGTCTTCTCTTTAACTGTCTAAAAACAGTTGAAAAGTGCTATTAAATTGCTTCCTAGCCTTTACTTAAGGCAACAATGACATCTCTCTTGGCTTCTCCGTGTATATCGTGTGTTCCAGTGCCTCTAATCATGACCCTTCACTGAACTCTCTCCAGTACATTGGTGTCTTTCCTCTTCTGGGAGCCATCAGTCCAGATTCAGTATCAACAGTACTGAATTGAAGATAATAATTACTTTCCTTAACCTGCTGGCTGTGTTTTAAGTAACACAAACCAATAGACATTTTGTATTCATTGCTGCAAGGGTGCACTGGTGATTCACATTCAACTTAGACCTCTGGTGCCTTTCTACAAGACTTTCATCTAGTCAGTTATTACCTGGTCTGTGTTGTCAGTATTGTTCCATGCCAGGCACTGGACTTTACGTTTGCCTTGCTGAACTTCATGAGGTTTATGAGGCCATTTTTTTAGGTTACTGAGGTCCTCAATGAAAACCTCGCCAGTCTGAGAAAGAACACTATCAGAAACTTTGAGGCTTTTCTCATCATTCAGGTTGCTGATGAAAATGTTAGTTAAGTTTAATAAAATATAATCTGGTGGTAAGAAAAAACTGTTGAAAATAAAAGAAGGTGAGCAGTGCAAAGTGAACTGTCTTTTGGGAGAGAATTAGGTTGGAGCCACCACAGAAAATTTTAGGAGTTGTTGTTACTGCAGACTGAATGAGTTTAAAGAATCAGTGTAGAGTCAAGTGAGCTGTAAATAACACTTCAATTTGTAGAGCTTGACAGAGAAGTTGTAAAGGTGGGGTGAGTCCTGCTGTCAAATACTGCCCTTGCTATTTGAGTGTGCAGGCAAAGTCTAAGTTTAGAGGTGGTGTTCTTTAGTCTTTCCCTTTCAGACTTATATGTTGCTCTGATGTGGGAACTTGGAAGGATAAATTAGTATCTTCCTGTCTGTTTTTGTGGCATCTGCTGTTAACTCCTGCTACTTCTTAATTCTGAGTGCCACGGTTCATATGGAAATGCAGTTTTTCTGTTTCAGCTTCTGGTATGAGGAAGCTGTTGGTTCTTGAAGAAGGAATGCCTGTTCTTTCTGAAAGCTAATCTCATTCTCACTCTTGAACTTAGTGGTATACAAGGTGCAGTCCTGATTTTATATACATATATATTTTTAATGGACAGCAGATTTCCTTTCCAGTGTGGAAATTAGAAAGATAAATTTAGCCAAAGCAACTCTGGAATTTTTGGTCACTGTCATGGTATGAGAGGACAAAGCAGAACTCTGCTTTACTAATTTGTCCAAGTGTACTAATGAGCTGGGCTAAAAAAGCCCAACGTTTCCGTGACCAGAGCAGAGCTGGAATAGAACCTGAAAAGCTGCAACTAGAACTCAGCTAAATTCTACTCTTTTATTAGAGTAACGGTAACAAAACCAGCAATAAAGCAACAGTAATGAAAATAGAGCACAGCTCAACAAAATGTGACAGAGACAGCATAATTTCCTTTATTTTTTTTTTCTCCCTTTCAGGTGCACACTTACGTCAACACTACTGGTGTACAAGAGGAAAGAAAAAATCGATCGAGTGTGCATGCGCCACTGGAATCAAAGCTTTCAAACACTGAAACAACTAAAGTAAAAGAAGATCAGATATGTACTGATGACAGAGATGCTCACGTTCTCCTGGAGCCTGAAGGAGTCAAGTTTGTTTTAGGACCAACCCCTGTTCAAAGGCAATTAATGGAAAGAGAGAAACTGGAGCAACTTGGGAGAGACCAAGTTAGTGGCAGCAGCACAAACAATACTGAATGGGACACTGGGTACGACAGTGATGAACGTAGAGAAACACCATCTGGTAATAAGTTGGTGTATGAAAATATAAATAGGTTATCAATCCCTAGTGCCTCGGGGGTCAGGAGAGGTCGTTTGACATCCACCAGTACCTCAGATACCCAGAACATTAACAACTCTGCTCAGAGGAGAACTGCGCTGTTGAACTATGAGAACTTGCCATCCTTGCCTCCAGTTTGGGAATCCCGCAAGCTGAGTAGAGATGAAGATGACAGTTTAGGACCAAAGACCCCATCTCTGAATGGCTACCACAATAACCTAGATCCAATGCATAATTATGTCAATACAGAGAATGTAACAGTACCATCAAGTGCTCATAAAATAGAATTTCCACGACGTCGGGACTGTACCCCAACAGTCTTTAACTTTGACATTAGACGTCCGAGTTTAGAACACAGGCAGCTCAACTACATACAGGTTGACTTGGAAGGTGGCAGTGACTCCGACAACCCTCAGACTCCCAAAACCCCCACCACTCCACTTCCACAAACTCCAACCAGGCGCACAGAGCTGTATGCTGTGATAGACATTGAAAGAACTGCTGCTATGTCAAGCCTGCAAAAAGCACTGCCCCGAGATGATGGTACTTCTAGGAAAACTAGACATAACAGTACTGACCTGCCTATGTGAGCCTGGGAAGCATTAAATCATTTGCACCTTTTGTGAAGTTTATAAAATTGAAGATGCAAGTACTTTGCATTTCTTAACACTAACGCCTTTTATAGACTAATAGAACTTTTTCTGCATACTTCATGTACTTGTCTAACTAAAGGGAATTAATGTAGAGCAAGTATTCATTTACGTAACACTATTTCATTCTATGGTAGTAATTACTGCATAGCAGCATCGCCACCTTTCACAGTGCCTCTTTAAATTGATTAGAGTCTGAGTGACATGCCAGTTTTGAATTTATAAATATTCTGGTTTGGTGCCTATAGTCGTTAATGGCATTTATAACACTTTTTAAAGCCTCTTGATATATGTGTTATTAGCAGGTAAACCTAATCTTTCAAGACAGATATCTACATTCGTTTCTCATTGACGTGGCTCCTTCAGAATGAAATGTATGTAATTCATTAACTCAGTTTGATGTACACAAGATGTATTGGTTCATCTCAAGGGATATAAATACCAAACTTTTTTTTTTTCTTCTTCATCAAAGACCATATGGGCAAGAAGGCATTTAATTCCCTGTAGTTTTCTTTAAGTGGTGTGATATTTGAGAGGTCACATCAAAGTCCGTTGATCATTGCTATAAACACATCTAAACCCAGCCTTAAGCTACTTCAGATAGAAGAGAATTCCAAGTGGCATATCATGTTCTCTGTGAAATCAGATGGATTTTAGAGTTTTTTTGTGAAGGAATTCACAGGTTGGCTATATGAATTAAGGCCCTTTTGTCATTTCTTAGTTCACTGTGCCTTCCTTTCTTTGCATTTGTGTTTCTTTTTATCTGTTGTTTTAAGAGTCAAAATTTTGTACATAGCTTTAATTATTGTTCAGGGTTGTGTATGTGTTTGTCTCACTCTCTGCATTTGACAAAGAAAGACTCTTGAAGGTCAAATGTTTGTCTTTGTCCAGCGTTGTACTTCTTTATGCCTGACTGAGATATCCCAGCTCTCCAGCAGCATGCATTATTGCACAACTGGAAAGGTTTATTATGCAGTCATTGTCTTCCTCTAAAGATTCAGACACAGGTTACGTGGGAGTCAGGGTACTGGACTTCGTAGTTCTTTGTAGGAAACTGTACATTCTAGCAATGTGCATCCATAGTTGATAGTATAATTTAGAAAGAAATGTAGTAAATTATCTGAAGGTAGTATTATCTATGAGTATACTTCTTTTCCTTTTTGCAGTTGGTGAATTTGGTTTCAATAATAGCTGCACAGTGTTACAGGTACATCCAAGCAGAATGTCATTTGAATATGCCAGATGCACCCTTAGTAGAAATTGTTTCCTTTTCTCAATGCTCTGAATAATTTTAGAATTCTGGCAGTATTGCAGGTGCACCTTGGTACTAGCAGCAGCAGAGGTTACTCTTGAGCCTGTAAAGGAACTGACACTTGTGAACTGGTGTGATGTAAAATAACCCTTGAACTTTGTGAGGAAAAACATGCAAGAAAAGCCATGTGAAGATCTGAAAAATAAATAAGGGTCTTCATGCAATATTTAAAGCTGTGTTATTTAAAAATATATATATTTTTTCAGGTTTTTAAATTGGAGTGTATCCCTGTATCTTTGTTAACTCTTTCTTTGGTCTTCTCTCAGTTTTTAGTGGTAGCAACGGTAGCATCTGAAATACATGTTTCTTGCCACATCATTAAGGGATATCAGGCAAGCTTTTAACTGAAAGACTTTAATTATTCTTTATAGACTGTGTGGTATCGAAATACCAGGTTTACAGAGAACACAATTTGCAGAAGTAAGAGATGGATGTGCTGAGACCATTACGAGGAACTTAATGAGATAATTAATGATTTCATTGTCAACCTATGCAAACTGTTGTGATAGATTTTTTGATTTGTGGGGAGAACTTGGTATTCAAGAAGGTGAAGACTACCTAGAACTAGAGATTTTTACAGGTCTGCAGTGTTAATGCTCCTTCATATCTTTTCCGTTGCTTTACCTTGTGTTATGGACCAGTCGTACTGAAGAGAAGCTATGAGGTGTTGCACAATACTAGGTTAATGATGCTGGTGTGGTTCTTGTTCTTAATTTAGGAACATATGTTTAAGCACACTTAAATCTGTGAGCCAGCCTACTGCTTCAGCATGTGTTTTGAGGCAAATGTGTGTGATCTAGATAGCTGCCTAGAAGTATTTGGTCCTCATCTGTATGGTACAGGTGCCTCAAATTCTGATTAACTGAACCCCTGTAACACAGCTGTGAGGCAGAGGAGCAATATTCATAATTGTCAGATAGGGAAACAGACCTAGTGCAGGTCCAAAGTAAGCTGCCAAAATTACAAGAAAGATCCCTCCTTAGTTCTGGTGCACTGCCCTATGCATTTATCCTAGTCTCAAAAGAAGAGATGATCTGAATAATATATATATATATATATTTTTTTTTTAATGTAAGTTTCACAGTACTTCATGTGGGGTATTTTCTTAGGTCTGGTCCCCAGAACTGAGAACTCATTGAGATTTTGTTCTCTATGATTTCTGAATGCATAGCCATGGCATTATTTTTCTTCTTGTTTTTAATATATACTAAATGAAATACTCACCGAGCAGAGTCAAGTGAAAACTTTGTGTAGCCTTAGCTATATTAACAAATCTGGCACCATATGTTCTAGGACTATATTTTATATCCTCTTCTACAGGTGGAATAACACTTTCTTGTTTTGTGTAAGCTGCAAACGTACTGGGTGGTCCCGTTACCTGCACTGCTCATCTTTAGCCTTCTTTTTATTTCTCTATTTTATGACCCTTGAAGTAGATGTAGTTGTGATGCACTTTACCCTTTGAGACTTGGTAAATGTATTTTCAGTCTCTTTAAAGGTTGTGTTGTTAGGTTTAGTGTCTGTAATTTAGGATTGAGTTTTCAGCTGAAGTCTCACCACAGTATTTAGCTCGTATTTATTTTGGCCCCACAGGTGTATAGAGTGAGAACCTTCAAGTAGGTAACAAATTTCTGTAGTAACTAAGACTAAGTTTCTACACAGTAGGTCCTACAAGAATGGCAACACCGCTACCAGTTCTACTGTTCTTCCATAGCATGCAATTGGCTGCTGCCCTTCAAGCACGTTTAACGAGGGAAAGCCTTTAACTGTAGATATTCCTTCAGTGCAATGACTTGTGAAAGACATTGGAGTATCTTTTAAAGAAAGAAAATGTCAAAGCAGTGACCAAAAGTATGTAATAAAATTGTACTGGAAATACACTCAGTGAGAATCTAATCCGTTGGTTGTATAACAAAAATATTTCTCCTCAAATCGATACGAAGAGGGAATCCAATTTTAATTTGGTAGTGTTTCCCTGCAGCTCCAGAAGAAAATTAAAAAATGACTTTTAGCCGTTATTCCTGACTGTTTTTTTTCCCCCCATAAGTACGTTTTGCATATGTGTTAAATTTAATGGTGTGCATTGAAACGCTATTCTTACTAAAGTCTACGAACCTTTTGTAGAAATCTGAAGGGTTTTAAATATATTGCATATCATAAACTGCTTAATTTCCACCCCCCTCGCTGCCCCAGGTACCTAAACATTCTTGTGTATTTAAAGCTCTGAATAGGGCTTCGGTATAGAAATGACCAGGGAAGGATCTTAGCTGTATCAGGTTCAAAACAACGTCAGAGAAAGGGCTGCTCTTTTGCTGGAAACTGGCCAGCAGTTGCTTTTGCTGGATTTTTGACTGTGTGTTTGCTCAGAATCTGTTTTTTATGTAACTGTTTCACATTGAGATGGAATCATGAAATGGTAAATTGCCTTCACTGTTGGGGAAGTAAAACTGCAAGTTCTGGTCAGCTTCATATACTACTTTGAGCATATCATGCTGTATTTGATTTGGACCTCTATTTCTGAGCAGTATTCTCCTCTTTGTGTAATGTGGATTCAATGGTGGGTTGTTTTGTTTTTTTTTTTTGCACTGTACGAACTAACCTAGTGGTTGCAAATAAGATAAAACTGATTTATTAGGAACTGGTAGTTGACTGGGATCTGAAGTTTTTCTGTAACCCCAAGAAGCCAAAAGAAAATTGAACCTTCTTGTTTGATAGACAGAATTAAGTGGTTTTGGAATTTATTCTTAAGATCTTTTCCCATCTTTTCTTTGATACAACAAATCAGGTGTTTATATTTGACAGTATTCACTTAATATCAACTTAAATTCATTTACATCTTTATTTTAAATTCATATACACTCCAAAAAAAAAAAAAAAAAAAAGAAAAAAAAAAGAAAAAAAAGAAGAAATTCCATCACAAAAGACTGCGTTAAGATGGAGTCAAGGCTGTTGGCGTCCTTCATACATAGCGTGCATTGAAAAGACACAAAGTCATGAGCAAAGGTCCTTTCACAATCTTTAGAAATTACTTCCTCCTTTGGACAAGATAAGTGAATTAAAAAAAAGTCTTAGTAACTGTAACTCTGACCATTTGTACGTTATTTCTTGTGATATTGTGCTGTAAGGTATGTGACTAAGTTGTCAGATGTCTTATGAGGATGTTATCCTAATGTGGTGTTTGCTCCAGATTAACGCAGTGTTTTGTTTGGAACTGTAGGTGTACAGATAGAACATGAGATATAAAGTTACCTTTATGGTTGATGAAACGAGTTTTGGACATTTCTATATTTTTTATATATTACAAAGGGCATTTTGAATTCTTTTCTTGCAGTTTTAATAATTACTTCGTGTGGCAATATACATACATTGTGACACTGTTTTCTGATATACCCATTACTTTGGTGTAATTCTATTTTATGTAGCAAATATGTGTATATACAAAGGAGATTCTGTACAAATCCGATTATGAAATAGGCTCGAGCCCTTTGGAACAGGGACTGTCTTCCTGCGTGTCTGCAAAGCCCTTCATGCCTCGGGGTCCCAGCCACAGCTCCCATCCGAGACCTGTGGTGAATAAACTGTCAAGAGATGAATGTGAAGGAGCAGCTGTTCTACTCTCTGAAGAACCTCAGTACAAAGGTGCCATGAAGCTCACCTTGCCGCTCCTCAGTGCCATGCCATGTGTGGTTACTCCCAACCACTTGCCAGCAGCCCAGAGAGCCTGGGGTCGGTGCGTCCTTTGCTCTGGTCCTGTCCTTTGGCAATAGAAAAGGAAGTCTGAGGTAGGAGCTTTGATGTCAGAGAATCTGCCTTCCTAGTGCTTGGGCCTCATGCAGCATCCCTTGAAGCCAAACTAATTCATACCTGCGTCTGGGCCTCCGAGTGTGTTCCTACAAGATTGAGTTCTGCTGACAGCAGCTCTGTTGTACCTGAGGACCTTGTTGGTCAAGTTCTTCAGGAATGGTCTAAAAATACTGTAAAAATATAAATATATTTAATTACATGTACTGAAAACAGAAATCCTATTTGTTGTGGTCAGAGTTCAGATTACTATGTGAGTTTTGATTTCGTAGTCGTACCTGCATATATATTGCTTTAACTATGTTGTATGAGAGGAAGTGATTCTAAAGTGTGTGAAAGGTCAGGATTACACCTGTATTTGTAATGGTTGTGTTATTTAGGAATGGATATCAGTGAACTTAACTCCATATTAATGCAGTTTTTTTGCATTAGAATATGTGTGTATATCATACACCTGCATTTTATATATAATATATTATATATTTGGTACTAACTTTGTATTTCCCCTGAAATTTGCCAAATCTTGAAGACAAATGTTCTCACTTGTAAGACTTTGGTACTTAATAACTGAATGTATATGAAATGCTCTGGTATGAAAGACAGCAATGTTGTAGAGTTCCCCACGATACAGATGTCTCAACCAGCAGGCATGTTGCCTTTTTTTGCGTGTTACATCTCAATCCACTGCAGCATCACCTTATGTCTCATGAAATATTGTCTGTGTTTTACCTAAACTGCGGAGCTGCCCTTACAATACAGCTGACAACAGTTCTATCGTGTGTGCTGGCTGGTAGGAATAAGAATACAATAGTCACCAGTGTGCCACAAATGCATTTATTAAATGCAGAAATACACATTTCTACAAAGGCCAAAATCTTATGTTGTATGTTCCTTTCTTGTCATTATATTGTATGATATTGTAAGATTATTGTATGTCCTAATTTGCATTATAAAATGTTTTTCCTACTTAAAGGCATAAATATAGCAACTTTGTATAAAGGTAGCTTTCTAGATTTTTATTTCTTTTATATAAAAAGGTCTAAACAGTGAGAGTATCATTGCCAAACTGTTTATAAAATTTCAGTTAATTTACCCTGTTTGATGAATTTGTTTTTACAAACATTCCATATTTCTTTTAAGAAAATTATATTATACTATGCAGAAAGAGTGTATTTTTATGCCATTCCACGTTAATCTTAAAACAAAAAAACCTTGAAAAACAATTTCCCCCCTTGTTTTAAGCTATCCTTACTGAGAAAGCTTACCAAATGTTCCTTTTTAAAGATGTGTTATGTATTACGACAACATTTTCCCCTTTACCAGTGCCAACTTCATTTGGAAAAAAAAAAATAATAATTGTAGCATGGCAATAAACTATTGATTTTACATTGAAAACAATGTGTGGGTTACTTCAATATTTACTACTGTGAGTGCTGATACATACTGCATTAGTCGCCTTTTTTGCTTTTCTTCAAGTCATTGCTTCAAGGCAATGATAAATAGCTATTTTTTCCCTCTAGTATTCCATTCAGTGGTGGGAAGACAATCCAGAAGACAGTGACCCGGTGTTTGTAAATTTTTCTACAGGCTTTTGTTTCCTTTTTGTTAGAGCTCTGTTCCTTTCTTCTGCCCATAGGCCTGGATTTTTGTTGTTGTACTGCTGCTATCTGCTACTTGTTAGCAAATCACCGTCAAGTTATTAAATGACTAAGATTTAATAAAGCCTGAACTTTTTCTTTTAGCGTTGTACCCAATGATTTCAGAAAGCGTAATAGGAAAAATAAATACAAGGTTGAAGCCCTGTCCAGATGGCCTCTACGATTTCCTCCAGAGATGATAAAATGTAGTGATCTTGTCCTGCATGATGCAAGATTTAGATTAGTTTGAATTAGTAACTAATTTATCGTAGAACTAAACTATCATATAACAAAATTATCATACAATGGCTTGAGTTGGAAGGAACTTAAAGACCATCTAGTTCCAAGCTCCTGCCGTGGGCTGGTTGCCACCCACCAGCTCAGGCTGCCCAGGGCCCCATCCAACCTGGCCTTGAACACCTCCAAGGATGGGGCATCCACAGCTTCTCTGGGCAGCTGTGCCAGGGCCTCACTACCCTCACAGTGGACAATTTCTTCCTTATATCTAATTTAAATGAGCCCTCTTTCTGTGTGTAGCTATAACCCCATGTCCTGTCACAGCACTCCTTGACAAAGAGCTTTGCTGTAGGTCCCTGTTTAGGTAATGAAAGGCTGCGCTGAGGTTTCCCCAGAGCCTTCTCTTCTTAGGCTGAGCAGTTTCAGTTCTTTCAGCTTGTCTCCATAGTAAAATCCGAATAAGTGATAAATAAAATTAATAATGTGAGGGATATAGTTGCTAAAATATCATGCAACTGATGTAATCCGTCGCTGTTACCAGTAAAAATATGTTGTGTTCTGAAATTTTGAAGTTGACGTACATGATGTTTAAAAGCCAATTCTCCACCAATAATGCTACAGACTGCTCTTGAAAGCACAATAATACATGTGTTATTCTACAGCATCCAAAGGGCTGGATTTTGTGATGATTGTTTTCCCTGAGCGTTGGGCCTGCACTGGACCTGGAGCTGAGGGGCACAGAGCATGCAGAACAGTCGGCTCCAGAGCTGAAACGTGCAGCATAGTCTGCTCTAGACAGTCATCCCATAACAGGGTGAGGTGAGAAGTAGTATCAGTTTAAGGAGCTTCTGCTTGTAGCAAAATATTGCAACGAGCAGAGATCAGAAGGTACAGCTTCAGCATTGGCATGATCTGCTATTGAGTATGTATGTGTATTTTTAAGTGCAAATAATCTTAGCTAAGAAGGCTATGTTGGTTATTTGATCTCTGGGGTTTTCTGGGGGTTGTACATATAACTGTGAAGCACAAGACTTGTTGTCTCAGTTCATGTTAAAACAACCCAGAACGCAGCTCATTTATATAGCTCAACTTACACCACGATAGCAGAAATGTGAATTAAAATCAGTATTAATTCAATGTGCATCTTACAAATGCTCTGAGATAGAAGTAGTTATTATCTTTGTTTTTTTTCCAGTCTATTACCCAACCCAAAACTTCGGACATTTTTCTCTATATCTATGATGGAAACTGAAGATGCTGTAATTGAATCAGTACTCATTTTCAGAACAAGACTGGAGTGAAACCATGTCCCATTCCCTGAATAGAACAAAAAAACCTTCCAAAAAATCCTACACTAGGCATCCTTACATTGAGAGACAACTATGAAAGGTGGCAGAGTTTTAGGAGGTTGTTATAGCTCTCTATTGGGAAAGACACATGGCTTTGGCCAGCCTGAGTCTCGAACACACACTCAGAGATGTTTCTTGGGATGTGTTTTCTCAAAAGGCTTGGCTTTTTTAGCCAGAAAAACAAAAAACAAAAAACCCACCCACAACATTGGAGAGAGCACAGTCCCAATCTCTGGCATAAGTAATCTGACAGTAAGAGAATGCCAGTTAGAATACGTTCTTGAGGAATAAGTCATAGAAACCAATTTATATGTATATCGTAGAACTGTGTGAATTGGAAGGGACCCTTATCGGTCATTTAGTCCACCCCATCTGCAATGAACAGGGGCATCTACAGCTACATCAGGATGCTCATAGCCCCCCAGCCTGACCTTGAGTATCTCCAAGGACAGGGCATCCACGACCACTCTGGGCAACCTGCTCCAGTGTCTCACCACCCTTACTGCAAAAAACTTCTTCCTTATGTCCAACCAGAATCTCCCCCCTGTTAGTTTGAAGCCATTTCCCTTGTCCCATCACAACAGACCCTGCTAATCTGTCCCTTTCTTTCTTGTAGCCCAGCTTTAGACACTGAAAGGCCTCTATTGGGTGTCCCCAAAGCCTTCTGATAATTGACCAGCTGATGAGTATCAGGAGCACAAGCTTTATGAGGATTAGCTAGGGGCCTGGGATTGTTCAGTCCAGAGGAAGCTCAAGGGAAACCTTATCATCCCCTACAACTGCCTGCAAGGAAGTTGTATTGAGCTGGGGGTCTGCCTCATCTCTCAGGAAACAGCGATAGGATGAGTGGTAACGGTCTTAATTTACGCCAGGGGTAGTTCAGACTGGGTATTAGGAAGAATTTCTTCTCAGAAAGAGAGATGAGGCATTGGCACAGGCTGCCCAGGGAGGTGGTGGAGTCACTGCTCCTGGGGGTGTTCCAGAACCATGTGGCACTGAGGGCCGTGAGCATGGAGTGGTGGGCTGATGATTGGAATAGAAATCTTCATGGTCTTTTCTAGCCTTCATGATTCTATTAATGATGCCACGATTGTAGGTGGCAGGCTTTTTGTTAGCAGAAAAAAAAAACAGCACCAGGCTTAGGTCGGCACCGGCACAGCTGTACTTCCTAGAGAACTGGAAGCAGTGCTCCGGGTGCCCAATGGGAAAGCGCTGAGAGGAGAGGGACCGAGAGGACTGCCTCCCTGATCTAATTCTGCTTGCTTTCAATGGGCCATACGGGCGATACAATGACACAAGCCTGAGGCCGGCTGCCAAGCTCCCGGGAGGCCAGCCGCAGGCGCGCGACGGAATTGAGAAGCGGGCACGGCAACCCGCGCGGAGTTGGCGCGGCAGCGGCCGTTCCCGCCTCCGCCGGGGGGGGACTACAGCTCCCACAGCGCCGCGCGGCGCCTCCGCCGCTTCCTCTGACGGCACTTCCGCCGGGCGCTGGTGCTGTGGCGGCGGTGTGCGCGCTCATCCCGTACCGGAGGCGGCTGGGTGTCCCGCGGCAGCATGGTGAGTGGCGGGCGGCCCCGCGCCGTGCCCCCGGCGCTTCCACCCCAGGGGGAGAGGAAAAAGAAGGCGGCGCGGAGCGGCGGGGGAGCCCGCGTGTGGCGTGGGGGAGGAGATCGGGCCTGGAAGGTTCCAGAGCGCGCACGAGGCGCGCCCGTTAGGCCGCGGGCGGGTCCCGGCGCCGGGGGGGGGGCCGATGCGGGGATGCGGGGTGGGCGCTCGGCCTGAGGCGCTGCCCGGGCCGGCCCTGGGAAGCGAGGGGATGCCGGCACGCTTCTGGTCGCGTCTCTTTCAGCAGACGCGGTCTGTCTCACCGTCTCTTCACCGCGTAATTCACGTGATCTGTCGGCAAACAGATCGCGATACGGATTTCAAACAAGGAGTCGGTGTATTCAGTATTAATGTTCTCGTTATCAAAGCCAAATGGGCCACGGGAATTACTTCAGCATTAAAACTGTTCCTTAAGATTGCTGGTGTCGGGGTTTTGTGTTTAAAATGCGGTGTTTTGTGAAAGCTGCAGAAGTATTCTCTGCTCTCGCTGTTGTAGGCGTCCCTTTCCCTTGCTCCCGTGAACATTTTCAAGGCAGGTGCAGATGAAGAGAAGGCAGAAACCGCTCGGTTGGTAAGTTTCTTCTCTAAGATAAACTGGTGATGCTCTGGATAATGATAGTCGTTCTTTTAAGTTTACTTCCAGTTTGTGGTGATGTAGAGCTTCATCTGCCTCTTATTGTCTTTTGCTGTTGCGGAAGATAGAAGTGTTTTGTGTATATCAACAGAGTTCTTCTGTATCTCAGCTTTGGAGGTTCACAAGAACCTCCTAAAACTTCCTCAGAAGTCTTTTGGCTCTGATATGTAGTTTAGTGCTTACTGCAAAAATGGAATACATTTTGTCTCATTGTTGAAATGTAGCATTTAAGGAAATTGGAACTGGATTCTGCTGGGAGTTTTCCTGTAGAAGAGTTTGGTTAAGATGTCCCCTTGGAAATTATAGCTTAGCACTTACTTATTGCTTTAAAGTATAAATAATTTTCTAAGGCATATTTGCTTTCATTACAGTCATCCTTTGTTGGTGCAATTGCTATCGGTGACCTGGTCAAGAGCACTCTGGGACCTAAAGGCATGGTAAGATAGCTGCAGGTTCTCAGTGGTTCTACCTGTTGATCTGTGGCCATGACCCATGTAAACCTCATGAAGTTTCACCAGGCTAAGTGCAAGATCCTGCACCTGGGTCAAGGCAATCCCAAACATGAACACAGTCTGGGCAATGAGTGGATAGGGAGCAGCCCTGTGGAGGAAGACCTGGGTAGATTATTGAATGAAAAGCTGAATATGAGCCGGCAACATGTGCTTGCTGTCCAGAAAGTCAACCGTTTCCTGGGCTGTATCAAAAGAAGTGTAATCAGCAGAGACAGGGAGGGCATTTGTCCCCCTGTTCTCTCTTAAGAGGGCATGCCTGCAGTACTCTGTCCAGGCCTGGGGTGCCCAACACAGGAAGAGCATGGAGCTATTGGAGTTGGTCTGGTAGAAGCCACAAGGATGATGAGAGGGCTGGAGCACCGCTCTTACGGTGACAGGCTGAAGGAGCTAGGCTTGTTGAGCCTGGAGAAACAAAGACTCC